AGGCATAGCATGCCATAGGTAAAGACTGAAATGAAAAGATCAACGTAGGATTCTAAAGTGAAGAACCCTGTTGAATGGACCTTATCTGATCACAAAGAGTTTGGGGGGCAAAGGGGAGAGCATACTCAGCGTGTGAGAAATGGGATAAAAATGATATCTTTCTCATTCTCCTGATCAGGTGTCCAGTGGAAAAGGTGCTGGTAAGTTCTAGTAACTTTTTGATACCCAGCTGTAGTGTCAGAGGCCCTCCTCTCATAACGTATCCTCCAGCTCAACTCTGTGCATGTGATTTCCACAGTATTCAAAGGCGGAAAGGCATCCTGTGATGGCACTGGAGAAAATGATGGAATCAAGTTTTACCGGCCCCCAGTCATTCCCAGAGGTCCCTTCTCCCGACAGAGGAAGCCAGACTGTCAGACACCACAGGTACAGGTAGCTAATCATGGTGGGCATGGGCGCATTGACACTATGTGTGACACCAGACGACACGTGCCAAGGAGTGGCAGCATTATTCAGGAGAGATGGTTGTTCCTGTTCCTCCTGTAGTCCCTCTTGGAGAGGAAGCTCAAGCGGCTCACAGCAGGTGAACCCAAGATACCAGCAGGCAGCAATGCCCCTGTAAGAAGCCTAAAGGAACTATTAACATCACCCATCAAGGCTGCAGACACAGACCGGTGAATGAAACAATAGCATTCTGAAAAACAATTGAAAACATGATTTTTCCTAGTTTGCTTTATCACCATCTGCAAATTTAATGGCTAATTCTTCCCGAGGCAGTTGACGTGACACTCTCCAGGCCTTCCAACAGGGTTCTCACACAAGGAAAACTTTCCGGGAGGGACAGAGCCTGGCAGATCTTCTCCTTGGGTTTATAAGATCTTCCATCATCAGTGGAGTGGCACTTTTAAATTTTTTTAACGAGCAAACCATAAAAATGGACTCTTTGGGGGAGAAAGCCACAAATAAAGAAATCTCATAAAAGTTATAAATTTCATGGCATTCTGAGGCTGAGCAAGTTCTCTGGGGCTTCTGATCACATGTTGCATTTTATACGTAAGGAATCTGAAATTCCAAAGCTGGAAAGCCTGTGCTCAAAAGTGCCAAAGTGTGACTTGCTAGAACAGGCATTATATTTCTGTGCATCCAAAAGTCTGTCCTCAGTCTTGGTGGCAGTTATCCAAAGATGTAAGCTTCCTTTCCTTCATAAAGAGGACAGTATTTTAAAAATTCTTAATTATGAGAGAATATTAAAATTTTTTAAATGGAAAAGGTAAAAAATAGCAGTTGTTCCCCTCAATGAAAGATAAATGTTGTTGACCCTGGGTTTTCCTATATCTAGGCAACATTTTGAAAACCACTGTGACAGAAGTACGCATTATGCAAAGAAACTACTTTCTCCCGCACCTCTCAGTGAGTCCCCAGGAAAGATTTTCTTGATGCTGGCCACATTCACTATGAGGTTTTCCATCACTCTGGATACTAATCCTCAGTACTTGATGGTGATGCCCATTCTTACTCTACAAGAGTAGAGACTGAGATGCCAAGGGTTTGCTCAGTTTAAGACAAAAAAAAAAAAAACGGTTTAAATATTTTCGACACAGGATAAAATATGTTTGGCTAGTGGATAATTAGTTTTGTTATGAACTCCAATTTTTGGTTTATATCAACTGAGACATTTACAAATATTTCCCTGTGAAAAGAGCATTTCAGTTCATTGGACCTAATGGAGGTTCTTAAATTTATAAAAAATAAGTTCAAAATTATCAGCCTTTTGGAAGATGGATTTTTTTTTCCAAAACAGTATTTTCCTCTGCTGATTATAACACATATAAAAGTGGTATTCCATCTGGCCAAGTAAAATAATTAAGGATACTATTTAGTAGTATATTATGCCACACATGTTTTAAAGTGGATATAATACAGAATTACAGCTTCTAATGTATTTGAGGTGCAAATATCCGACCTCTACTTTTGTCTATTGAAGTTCTTCCTCCTAAATTTGGCTTCTGCTCTGGGTTTCTAGGAATCGCTCACAGATTAAATAAAGGACGTCTCCAAGAGGCCTCCTTTTTTGTTTGGTTCAGTGACATTGCAGTATTTGTTGCCATACATTGGGTCCTGATGGGCAAGGGTTGATTTATAAAGTGCTTTTAGAACTCTGTAAATTATAGTTCATATATCATAGCTTTTGTTTTGTAGAACATGCAGGAGACTTAAACGTTTCCGTGATTGATAACCTGGTTACTGACTTATACATCCTGCCCCATAACTTCCTGAATGCCACTGGGTGAGAAAGCTCGAAGAGCTGACTGATCAATAGGCACAGAACTGCTCTTTAAGATGGGTCACTGGGAAATCCCGGTAGGCTTGGTTGTTTGGGCTCGCTATGAATAATTAATTGCTTTTTGTGCACTACAAAGATGACTAATTTGGATAATTCATTTATGAAACAAAGCCATTAACTCCAAGCCATTATTTCTCATGTTTAGTCCAAAAAAAAAACCTTCCTTTTTTAAGAAGAAATCTATTATGTCACGTCCCACTTATTGCATTATATTTTGGCAACGTAACTCATTTATAGACAGCAGATAGGTAGGTTTTTGAAAGTGAAATAAGTCCAGGGTTTTCAGTGATTAGTATGAGTCTGAGTGGTCAGCTGTGGCAGAAGAATCAGGAACTTATTGTGTTGAGCACCTACTATGTGCCAGGCTCCCTGTTAGACACTTAACATATTTTATCTCCTTTAACCACTATAGCAATCCTATGAAAACACCTAAGCGTGATGCTAATGCCTTTATCTTGCATCCCTTCCACCCACGTCTTGGCTGTATTTACTCTTTCCTGCCTTGCCCTGTGCACCAAGGGGGCAGCAGGCTCCTTTGTCCTTGGGCTTCTGTTGGTTCATTGTGAGGCACAGGCAAGCGATGGAAGGGCGGGAGACAGTGAGGTCCTAGCATGGCCGCCCCCTCCCTCCTTGCGTGATTGCCTCGGCTAGATCCCTCTTCCCGGGGCCACAGCACCTGCCAGGCAGTCCTCTTCTTACAGCCCACTTCTCTGTTCATTCAGGTAACTGCTCCTTCCCCTTGTCCCTTCAGTCACAGGGGTGGTAGCAGCTTCCCACTGTTACCAGCCCTGAGGTACAGTAGCATCCTGTATTTTTTTTTTCCTCAAGCACTGAAGACACTTTTGTAAATATCAAAATCTTCCCAAATGAAGCAGTTTAGGGTGCTGTCTGTTTTCCTCCAGGACTCTGACTGATACAAGCATCATGCTGCTGGTAACATACAGACCTGAGATACACACTCTGATGCAGCTAATTCTAGCATCCAAGCCTGAGTACCCCGAGGACTCCACAGTTGCCCCTGGTTGGTAAAGACAGAAGCTGGAAGGGAGGAAAGCCAATGAGCCATGATAGAGCTCCTTAAATTTGTTGGCTTAGTGACCTAACTAGAGGTCCCTTGTCTTTAGGCATTTTAGGACTCAACACATTAGAAATGTTATGATGAAGAATGAAGTTGTAATAATGTTGCCAGGCATGATGTGGAGTTTGCAGACACTCGGGAAGTTAATGCTAGGCTTGAGGAATATCAAGCCTGAGTCACCTTGCCAAAACCAGGAAGGTGGCTGCCAGCACTCAAATGTCAGATTCTCGGATTACGACCTTATACGGCATTTGAGATACTTTGTTTTGTATTCATTAA